TTTTGTTTACATTTCACAACAGACGGTGTTTAATTTTATAATGCAATTCAATAAAATTTACCGTATTACAACTTCCGTCATCACACCCATATCCTAAAAAAAAAAAAAAAACCACAGTGCCGTTTTCAGACTTATAGTAATTAACTAATCATACTTGTTTAGGTTCAGCGCAAGATACAAGACGAAATGGCGCGAACAATCGGTAATAGGCTGCCAACTTGGAAGGATCACTTAAACCTGCCGTATTTAGAAGGCGCCGTGTTGGAGGCGTTACGCAGAAGTTCATTCACGTCACTTGGAGGACCACGAAGAGCAGTCTGCAATACTAAGTAAGATTTTATGCAGAAAACCCTATGTATATAGGGTTTGATTAGCTGCTTAGACCTTAGAATTACATTAGACCTAAAACAGCCAGCAAAGTGTTCGATATCTGTAATTCCGGCAAGATAATTTGAGGAAAGCCACACGTATATCCTATAAATTGCCGATTTTATTAATTGATTGATTGACTAAATGACTGATTGATTCATTGATTGATGGAGTGAGTGACAGAATGATTGTTTGAATGATCAATCAATCATTGATCAACCATTTATTGATTGATTGATTGACAGATCAATCATTTGATTCATTGATAGATCAGCTTTTGACGAATTACTGACTTATGGATTAATTGATTTGTTGATGTCAAGTCAAAAAAAAAAAACAATCAAAGAATGACCAGTCCTGTAATTCATTCATAGGTTGGAGGGTTACGATATACCGAAGGATACTATAATCTTCTGCAATATATGGTGGGCACATCACGATCCAAAATACTGGGACAAGCCCAATGAATTCAAACCAGGTACGTAAACACATTACAGTTGAATTATACTATGTACATTATGTTTGTATTTATAGATATTATGTCGTGAACCTATGTAAACACGCGTGTTTGGGGACATGAGCGTATTGGTCAGTTGTTAAGTTTTATTAAAATTGTATTGCGTAAGCAGCTTGTTTTGCAACAAGCCATTTTGTACTTTAAAGCTGGACGCATGACTCTTTGGAATGTTAGTTAAAAAACATTTATGGATCGTATTAACAGTTATCTTTACAGTATAGTAGCCAAATACTACAACCAATATTCACTAGCTGTAAATTAATAGAATTATAGAGAATATCACAACGACGTATATTGTGTTTGTTTACATTTCTTGACATTCCCCGTAAGAATTTCCATTTAAAACTACAAACATCTATAGATGTTTCATTGTGGCTAACGACATGTGACTGATCGTTGACATTCGTGTTTATTTTCGCAGAGAACAGTAACTGATTGACATATTTATTTTTATTATCAATAGAACGTTTCATCAAAGACGGACGAGTGTTTTTACCCAAAGCATTCCTTCCATTCTCAATTGGACGTCGGCAGTGCCTAGGATCCCTATTAGCCAGGATGGAGCTGTTTATGGTATTGGGAGGCATTCTACAAAGATTCAACATTCGAAATCCTACCGGCTTTCCTCAGCCTACACTAGAACCTATTCCAGATATGGTCCTTTGTCCGGAGCCTTATAAAGTGTGGCTAGAACCGCGAAACATCCAGGTTTAAAGAAGATATTATGTCACATATAGAGTAATGATTTAAATATTAAATTTTGATAATTAAATTTTAATTGTCATTCTATACCTATTAAACATTGGCCTGGTTCTCACGAGAGCCCTAGTATCCGGATCGGAAGCTAACCGTTAGCGCTAACCGTTAGCACCTGCGTGAGAACGCCCGATCGGTTAGCGCTAACCGTTAGCAGCCTTATCCGGATCCTGCTAACCGTTAGCTGCCGTGTGAGAACATATCCATTATGGTACGACGTATTCTCTCTACTTAGCAAATCTTCCATTGGCCTGATTCGTTGTAGTGATAACCAGTGGCGCATCCAGGAATTCAAAATAAAGGGCGGAGGTGGGAGGGGGGGGGGGGGGGGGGGTGTCATGACGGACTCTGATAAATTAACGGTGTAGACATCTTAGCCCCAACATTGTTGGGACTGAGGTAAGAAAATCTATGATTGTGACACCTCTAGATGGCCGGAAATAGCACTCTCAGACTTCAAATTTAAATATAATTTTCTTTTTGTCTCAATTTAAAAAAAAATTGAATAACTTGTGGGGGGGGGGGGTGTGGAGAGGAAGGCCCTGTCCCCTTGAATCCACTACTGATAAGAATAGAAGAATATACGCCTAAAAACGTAAGTCTGTAGTTAACTTGATCATTATTTCATATGCCTATGGGAGTCTGTTGCACCCGTCTGCATAAAGAAAATGTACATATAAAACAAAGTGTGTGAATAAATAAATAAATATATATAAATAAAGTTCAAATGTAGCCAAAGTTTTAAAAGCCTAAGAGAACGAACCCTTAATGGCGTCATCGTCAACTTTTAATCCGTAACAAAGCGAAACCAACAATATTAATTTATAACGAAACATCAGTTTTTCTAGTTGCGCTAGTCTAGATCATCAATGAATATTATGCCCCAGGGGCGGATTCAGAATGTTTTCAAACGGGGGATGGGGGAACAACAGTTTCAAAATAGATAAGTGATTAGCACATAATATTGATTTGCATTGAAATTCTTAACATTTAGTGGCAAAACGGGTGGGGGTGGGAGGAACGTGCCCCCCCCCCGTTCCCCCTACTGGATCCGCCTATGTGCCCTGTTGCACTGTGGTACGTGTGTGCGATCATACGCTTCAAACAGTAAACCGACTGTGGTCGAAAATCGACTCATTTAAAATCGCCTGCGACACATGTCAGATTTGTGCAGTTGACAATGGCTTATTGAAAAACTCTTATTGAAAAACTCTACAAAATCGTCATATTACTAATCAAGTGTAGGTCTTGTGTTCTACCGCTTATACTTTATATATGACATTCCCTACGACTATAGTATAAATAACCAGTTATATAATATTAATAATAGTCTTCCGTGCTCAGTGTTAAGGCCTATCAATATCGACTTGTATTTAACTTGGATTACACGGTCGTCGGTAGCGTTTGTTTGTTTGTTGTTTTTTTTTTTGTTTTTTTTTTTTTCAAAAGTTTGTTTTATTAATTGTAGACAAATTATTCGATCGAATTTGATAGGCCTATATGTTACAAAGTGCATCATGCAGGCATTATAGAAAACAATCCTGATTTTTCTCTAATTTGAGGACAGCTGTGTCGAAATAACGTCATATGGTACTCAAACATGCACTTAATTCGTTTTTTAAATAGGCCTATAATTTTGTTTTTCTAATTTCAGGACATATTTCTATTTTATTTTTAGTTGCGTTAAAAAGATGTTGGAATTGTATAATCCCTTTTTGTTTTCATGCAGTATAAAGCCATAGAAGAAAAAGGAATTCGAAGTAAATAAAATATTATCTATTTAACGTAATGTTTTTTATTGTTATTGTTATTATTATTATTATTATTATTATTATTATCATTATTATTAAGGCCTATTATTAGGCTTAGGCCTATTATTATTTAATTGGTAAGATTGTAATCATTAAATAATCGGTATAGGTCGGTGTGGAGAGGTAGAAATTATCAACCATTGTGAAAAATATTTTATTTATCCAAGATGTATTTAGAATAAGATTATTGAATTTGTACAACTGAATAAAATATTGACGAAGAATTTCTGATAAAAATTGTTTATGAGAATTCTTATTTTGGTAAATTTGTCGTGAAAAAATGATTGGATGTTAAAAAGCTGGTGACTTTGAATGGTGAGCTGCTGTAAGAGAAATCAGATACCAACACAAATTAAATTATTTTATTTTACCTTTGAAGATTGAACGGGAAAGAGTACAAATAACAGTTAAAAAGATCAGTTCATCTTTTCTTTGTAAATTTACGTGAGTTTTACAAAGGATTACAAAGAGCACGTCTAGAATGTTGGTGGTGAATTCGGTCTGAACACAGACAGACGATCCCCTATTGAAGATGTGTAACATTAGTGTAAGGCTTAGAGACCTTTTATATTTTACGCCTTATAAATCGAACTATTATTATTATTATTATTATTATTATTATTATTATTATTATTATTATTATTATTATTATTATTATTATTATTATTATTATTAGAAATTTATTTAACTCAAGAATTTCTTTAACACAAGGAAACGTTGTAGCGACAGATTTTCTAGTCTGTTTTACCGACGTAATCGTTAAACATGATTGAGGTAAACAATTTAAACTTTTCAGAAACCATTGCGCTATGTAGGCCTACTTCAGTATAGCCTTCCAACTGAAATGTAAGGGAGTAGATATGGAAATGAAGCAGGGACACGGTATTCCCATATCCTCCCACCCATTACAAAAGTGGTCACCAATTCGAAGTCTCAAGTCGATGTGATTAGCTCTACATCAGCATAAAATAAAACAAAATTGACGACGTTATTAATTATTATCACGGATGAGTTGCATGCATTAATTATGAATGATTAACTATGAAATGGCAATTGATCTGTTTGAACTCAGGTTTCTTATCAGAAAATCACAAAGCTTTAATATTTAATCCCAAGACTATTGCCCCTGTGTTACTCAAATAAATTCCAATTAAGTAGTTTCCATATACACGCCCTAGCGTGTCTTGAGTAATTTATACTAAAGCTGGCTAAAACAAGCCTTTTCTAAACTATTATAACTCGTTTTTGTACGAGTCTGATTTGTTTTTTCTGAGCGATAAACTCGAGGTGGTAATAATTAGTGACGCGGTAAAATGAAAATGTAACGTGTGCCCTTTTTTAAACAGATCAACGAGCTTCGAAACTATAGATTTATGTTAATACAGTAGTGTAAGATAATAATAATAATAATAATAATAATAATAATAATAATAATAATAAAAATAATAATAATAATAATAATAATAATAATAATAATAATAATAATAAAAATAATAATAATAATATGATAATGAAACAAAAACCGTAACGGTGATAATAATGGTAAATATGATGTATAATACCGCAGGCTATAGCAAATATATAATGAATAATAACACTGCTCGAAGAGGAAGATGTTGCAATAATCGTATAAAGCATATCTCATCAACGAAAAGTTCCTTTATACAGTTGTATGAAAAAAGTGTCTCTGGTGGTGGTGGGACCCGAACCTGCGACATTTTACTATCAAGCCGAGTATCATACCCATCAGAACACGGAAACCCGTAAGATACTTGCAGATCTAACACCCAGGCAGCTTCTCTCATACAGCTGACTGATTCATATTGTCTATTTTATTGTAATGCGGATTTGAACATGTTTTAAAGGAATTCGCAATATAAAACAATATAAATTATATTATTTATTTATTAATTAATTTTCACGTCTTATTCAGCGTGGTATCAAATACGAAACTTTTTTATGTGGAGCCAAAATGCAGTTGAATTTGAATCTGAATTTATTTGATTTCGCTCTATATACAATACATAAAATAAACAGTAAAAACAAGTCATTTAAAACAAATAATAGAATAGAA